TGCACGAGGAAAGTTTCATCAACTTGCATCCCTAAAGTTTTAAGCTTTGCATCTTTGTCAGCCATATTGAGGATGTGATCCTGAACTCCTCGGTTGCCATCGTAATTCATTGTTGTCAATTCAGCCATAATAGTGCCAGCAAGTGACTTGTCAACAGATCTAAATCGATTTTCAACAGCCTTTAAGCATTCCAATGCATTACCAGTTTGAGGTCAAGAGGTCTTGATGTTATTTGCAATGGATGAACATCAAACCGAGTCTATTGGACCTTTTCCAAGATTCAGAAAGGGCAACTTGTTCTACAATACTATATTCATTAATGTTTGCAGGTTTATTTTCAAACAATGCCATATTGAGGTCCAATACACCCAGTGTAAACTGAACATGTTCATACCATTCCAAAAAATTCGAGCTAGTAAGTAGAGGGATGCCCGATGCAAGAGAGTGCAATGAGGTGGGAACTATCACTGAAATAAGATAGAATAATATACATATTAAAGCTTTGAGAATTATAATGATGAACTATTGATATCACATAAGTCTTTCCTTTGGGCAAAACTTAGGTATATCTATGGTCCACTCGTCAAGAAACACTTATGTAGGTCTAAAGTAATTTATGCAACTTTTCAGTTAGTCATGTTACCTTTGGGTATTCAATTCTAATCTGTTAAATTACATAAGTTACATTACCCTGCCCAGTTCATAATTATTTGAAAGTGACTCTCCTCTGGGCTAGCCTCAATCTCTTAATTATAACTGCAATTGAGAATATTATCGACCTTAATGTTACCCTTTTAACAATTTTTTTTTATATAGTTCTATATTCATAAGTTTTACAAATCTAGGCCACTTTGGCAGCTACTAAATTAGTAAACCTTATGAATACGGAACTAACCAACAATATTCTCTATTCATTAATTTGAGTTATTTAATTATCATTAATTCAATCACTATTTAATGAAATCACTAGTTTTATGATTTCTAAAATTTCTTTTATGTGATTGCAATTACCAATATGATAATAATAATAACTCCAAATGAACATGAATATATATATATATATATATCAAATTATGCAATATGGCAATCATGAATATCTGATATAATGGTCAATAAGAATTACATCTAATATAAATTAACCACTTCAATATTTAATATTTAATGTCGTATAAAATTTCTAACAATTATAAAATATATATACAATAAAGTTTACTCGGTAATCGCCTTACTTATGAATAACACTTACCGATCATATGCTGACCCACAATGTCAAAAATTAAAAACGTTTTAGAAATTTTGAAGTCTCCTATTTTTATTTATTTTTTTAATATAAGAAGAGACTGCTTTAATTTAAATCAAAACTCATAAAATATTATTATTTAACAAAATATTCGAGGATCACGATGCTGTGGTGAATAGGACCAGAAATTCAAATTAGTTTAAAATATTTGAAAAAATCCTTTACAAGTAACCAAGAAGCAACAAACATAATGACTTACGATTAACGTAAAAGTTTTACTACGGAATTTTCATCAATAATATATACAATTGATGATAATAAATATTTGATATTTAATATTTGAAGGGGTATTGATTCAAAAAACTAAGGCTCTGATACCACATGTAAATATTAACATACGTGTAACCATAATAATAATGCGAAATTGAACTTTTGTATGATCTTGAATTCAGTATAACTCAAGAATAAAACGAGCATACTATTGTCAGCCATTGAATTAGAAAAGTTAAGAAAATACCCTAATAGTTGAATTCTTAGCTCACCTTCTTCTCTTTGTCTCTCTTAATTAGGATGACTATATAACTTAGAGTGATGAAAAAAATACTTATGATATGAAAGGGGAGTTACCCATTCTTATATAGAGGAGAGAAGAGAGTCAGATAAACTTTATTAGAAGAATTCCTGTTTATCAAGGTTTCCTTCTTATCTTAAAAGAGTAATTATCTCATATTTAAAATTCTAATTACTGAATTTTATCTAAAATATTGGTTTTATTTAATTGTGGAGTCCAAATAAAATAAAACATGTAAAAGATATATAGGCTATTAGGCCATACCAGAAAATAAATCCAACACTACATTTAGAAATGCATGCCTACATTCATATATATGCTTGCGTATAACATCATTGGATAATTGATTTTCCAGGATCTTTGGACTAGATCTGTGATTAGAAAGAGAGAGAGAGTTAGTGAACACCAGATTTACGAGAGAATAACCTAGCAATGTGGGTGTGCTGCAGAGCTCCAATCGCGTCTCAGTCAACACATGCCCTCTTTCTCTTCCCTTTTGATTGTTGTTGTTGTTATAGTGGTGAATGAACAGATAAAATAAAAATTGAATAGATATATTTGTGTATGTACTGGATTATATTTGAGTATTGGTAGAGAAGTTTCAACAAATAAGAAGAAAGAACAAGAGATAGAAAGAAATGTGGAGAGAGAAACAAATAAAGAGAGAAAGAGAGTTTGAGAGAAGAATAGAGAGAAAAATTGAAAATTGTGTGAGTTTGAACAGATAAAAAAAAGGTTATAAAAATTCAACAGATAAAAAACATCCAACAAATAAACAAATAAAAAAGTATTTAAACAGATAGTCAAAAAATTTGAACAGATAGAAAAAAATAATTTAACAGATAGAAAATAATTTGAACATATATATAAAAAAAATTGAACAAATAGAAAATAATTTGAACAGATAGATATAAATTTGAACAAATAGTAAAAAAAAGCCAACAGATAAATTAATAGGTAAAATTGGAAACAAAATGTTGAAAATCACCAAACTATTTCACAAATGGTGGACCTCTCACTAAGAAAAAATATTCACTGGACCTAATGCTTTATATCCTCCTTAGCTTGGACTTTTCAACAATTTACTCTATAATAATTTGAATAAATTATATCGATAGTTTTTGTATTTTGTTATTTGTGTTACTTTAGTCTATATAGTTTCAATTGGTTTAATTTTAACTTTTAATTTTAAATTTTGTATCAATTTAATTCAATTGATAATCCCACTAGGGTTTTTGACGAAAATGTTCATTATGTTAATTTTATATCATATGCATCATATGTATTTTTTTAGTAAATGTTATGTAATTTTTTTGAATAAAGTTATGACAATTTGTAATTCTGAAATGAAATTACTTATTTTTGTGGTAATCTTATGAATTTTTGTAGTAATGTTACACATTTTATGATTAGAAAATGTTTGGATAAAAAAATGTAGGGAAATGTTATATATAAGGGAAATTTAGCCCAAATCCCTCTGTTGGACCCTTATTTGGTAAAAAGACAGTCCAATTTATTTTATTTTATAAACCTCCTAAAGAAGAGACGCATGATTGAGTAAGGACAAAATCCGTTTCAAAAAAAAAAAATTGAGTAAGGATAAAGTAAAATATCTTCTTTTCTTTTCTTGGACAATATTGCAAGAGTAATATCTTACTGTGAACCAAAGTAATATGTTACATTAAACTAGAGTAACATATTAAAGTAACATATTACTGTGAAATAGAATAATATGTTATTTGATAGATCTTAATGAGAGGATCCTAAAAATATTAATTTTATTAAAAACCGACATCTAAATTAAGAGTTAAATTTTTTTAAAGTTTAATATTTTGGTAATAGTGATATGTGTTAAACTTTTTAAAGAAAACTTTTTGTACTTATTTTTAATGCATTAAAGTTTTATTATGAGAGAGTTTTAACCAAATCCTCCAAAAAAGTGTAATATTATCACAAAAATGCGTAACATTCTTATAAAATGATTAACTTCATTTTTTAATCACAAATTATTATAATTCTTCTAAAAATATATATAATATTTGATTTCCAATTTCAAAATTCACTTTTTAAAAAATTTTACTTTTTCGTTTCTGTATTTTTTTTTTTCATTGAATTTTTTAATATTTTAAGCATTTTTTTTAATTTTTAAACACACGTAACATAAATACACTTAAAAAATATAATATTTGTGAAAAAAATATTTAAAAAATTCACTAAATATAAAAAATATAATATATATATATATATATATATATTACTATTTAGATATATGTAAGTAAGGTACATCTAAAAAAATTATTAAAAAAAAATTGCTTGAAATTTTAAAAATATTCACTAAAAACAAAAAAATACGAAAAATAAAAAATTTAATTTCTAAAAAACTGAATTCAGAAAATTAAAACCAAACAAACTTATTATTATTTTTTAAAACTTTGTTAGTTGCACTAATGCAAAAGAACTTTAAAAGTAAAAAATCAAAAAAATGAAGAAATCAAAAAATTCAAAAAGACCAAAATAACAGTAAATAATATATATATTGACTTTTTTGTGTTTAATGCAATTTTTGCTTTTATTATTTTATTTTTTTTAATTCATCTAGTCAAGTAATTTTAAAAATCTAAAACTTTTGAAACTATTTTATAAAAAGAAAAATGCTTCAGACCCCCACTGGGGGTCGACCCCCAGTGAGGTGGCGCTCCGTGATTGGGCCAAAAAAAAACTTTTTTTTTTTTTTTTTTGTAAGTTTCAGCCAGTGGGGGCTCGCCACCTCACTGGGGTGCGACCCAGACCCCCACTGGGGGTCTGTAGCAGAATTGTTTATAAAAATTTCAAAAGAAAAATTCTAAAAAAGGCTAATCCCAAATAAGAGATAGCTCTGGTGGGCCCCATAATGTGATTTGATTTTATGAATTTAGACCAACCCTACCAACGGATCATAACTTTCAATAATACCGTAACTTTAACTTTAATAACTTGAAAAGAAAAGATAAGACAAGTATAAATCAAATATAAATTTTTTATTTTTTATTTTTTTAAAAATCTCTATCGAAATTCATGATCATGTAAATAAAATATAAATTAACTCTTTTATTTTATTTTTTTTTCTTATTTTTAAATCTCTATTTAAATCTATAATTCAAATTCAACTCAAATTCAACATATAAATCACCCTCTAATATGAAATCCAAATTTATCAAGCCACAAAAAAACTCTAGAATCATTTTTCATTCCAGACAAAAGGCCCATATTACAACTACTTCAAAAAAGCCTATCCCTAACAAGAAAAGGCAAGAAAAGGGGGGGAAAATCCTTCAAATATCTTATTAATTTTTGTACTTCAAGATAATATAATACCTTTGAAGGCCAGTACATTAGATGAGAAAATTAGAAATTACAATTAAAGCACCTCTTATATTTTCAAACCAAGGGCCTGTTCTCTTCATTTTCAAATCGAGTTCTATTCTCTTCGCTATAAGCCGGCGTTTCGATCTTGGCCATGGAAGATGAGGCTGGGGCTCTTTTGGGTGGTTTGTTATCTGGCAAAAGCTTCAATACAATTCCCATGGATATTAGCAAAAGTCCAGTCCCATGTTGTTCGGTTAATGGCTTCGTAAATATCAAGTATGATAGCAGTAGTGTCACCGCCTTTCTTGCCGTTGTCACCTGTCATAATGAAATTCAATAATGAGATAGATCAAGCTTTTCTCATTAACCCATACTTACGATATCTGAGCAAAAGCCTTGAGATCCAATCCAAGATCTCCAAGATGAAAAAAACCTAATTGAGGATTGATAATCCAGTAATATGCTTTCATCTAATCTTTATGAGATCGACAATGCTACATCTATCTAGAAAAATACTTAGAATTCAAAATGTATCAGTCAAATTCATCATGGATGTGGCCCACATCACACTAAGCAAGGGCAAACTTAAGTTTTCCAAAATGTTTCTTGTAAATCTTCTCTATTTTATAAGTATTTATACATTGTATATGAAATGATGCTCCCAAGTTTTCCTATATTTTTTTTATTAGTCCTCTATTTCATGAATATTCCCACAATGTATATAGGATGAGAGCTAACTATTAATATATTATGTCATAGCACTAATATATTTATTTTATTTTATACCGTATGTAAAAATCATTTGTTGTTTTTTTAATATAAAAATCATAGAGGTAGATTTTTTATTTATATAAAGAGTAAATTACACTGAACTCCTCTAAGGTTTGGAAAAATACAACAAGACTTACAATTTTGGCATTATTTTTCTATCCATGTGACTAATGAATTTTTGATGAAAGGAAGACTGTGTTATGTGAACTAAAACCTTAGGGAAGCTACAGGTTACTATAATTTATTCAAACCTCAAGAGAGGTCAATGTAATTTACCCTCATATAAATTATATAGATGAATAAAATGCCTTAAAGCAGTGGCCAAATCAATGATAAACTAAGATCCCATTTATATAGCTCTAAAATTGTACAAATAATTGAAACAAGTATTAAGAAATGAATGACATAGATTTATTGATTTTTCTTCTTATTAGATTTTTTTTATAACGCTTTTGGATTAAATAATTTTATTCCCTTTTTTTTTAACACTTACCTTGGCCTCCCCTTACCAAATTTTTTTAGCTTCGTACATGACACCAAGTTTAAATTTATATCATAATTACCTATAACAAATTTATATCATAATTACCCATGTTATGCAAGGTCTCTCGTACATGCATAAACAGATATAACAGAATTGCGCAAGCTAATGACATAAATAAACCTACCATTGCAGTAGTGGCAGCACCAAAAATCGCAATGAGGGAAAGGACAGACACTTGGCCAACAAATGTCGCCATTGCTTCGAAGACCAACACGCCGTACACATAAGGATGCTGCATAAACAACAAGAAAGTAATTACAAATATTACATTTGAAGAGAGAAACAAAGATTTTTTTGAATGTTTACCTGAGAACATGAACTCCATGCTTTGAATAATTCTCCTGTTAAAAGCATGGGTGGAATCAAGAATGGCATACCAACCAAAGTCGAGCAAAAGAGCATCTCCGTCTGTACAAAAAGACAGAAACAAAGTTAAAAAAATACGAACATGTAATCCAGATTTCTTCGAGAAAATCAACATCTCACCTGTGTTGTTTCGGGATTCATGGTAAAGATTGCTTCTTGTAGATTGCCCAAAAAGGCGTCCATTACTAGAGCGCTAGACACCATTAGAACGCCAATCAAGCTAAAGTTTGGTGAAGTATGTGCATCAGCTAAAGTGAAAAGGATCAAACCCACTACTAAAAGAACGGCTGATAAGTATTCGTGAAGAGGGTATTTCCGTCTCAAACCGGGTATGAAAGCACCCATTATCATCACCGGAAGAATCTATAAAATACAACAAACTGTAAAAATCAGAGAAGTTTGCCTAAATTGACATACAAATCGTAATAAGAATTCATCAAATAATATACCCAAGTGGGTAGTCTAAATGCTTTAAAATCATCCACTAAATTCAGTAATTCCACATTTTTTGGTACAATGCAAACTGATTTCAGCATAAACAAGCTGCTGAAGAGGTAGAACAGAGAATAGAGATAACATCTGTCTAAATTCTCCGACCAGCATCAACAAATTCATGGTTGATTGCAGGATAAATCAATAGAAACAACACTGAAATCCAGAAACATCCGATCATTATAATAATATAATGCATTATCAACACCAATTTTAGGTGCTTTTTTTAGGAAACATCCATCAAATTAACAGTCCGTTTGTTTTGACAGAATACATTTTTCGTTATAAAACGTTTTCCTCTGTTTAGTTGCAACCTTGAAATTAATATTAGTGGTGGCGGTGGCGGCAGTGATGGTAGCAGTGGCGGCATTCATAAGACTTTAATCTGGAAAATATGTCATTTTTCAAAAGTGAAAACGTTTTCCGTCCAGATAAGCTTGCTTTTCATTGACTTTCGTTTTTTGTTGACCTTCGTTTTCCATTGAACCAACTACCAAAAAATATGAAAAATATTTTTCAAAAAATGGTTTCCACCAAACAAATAGAACGTCAGACCTAATACAATATATTGAAAGAACCAAGAACTTTCATAAGGCTCAATTTGGCTTCTCTCCAAGAAAGACAAAAGCAAATCGTCAAATAGAACAAACACAAATCAAATCAACAAATCATTGCTATTGTAGTATGCTTTTTCAAGAATAACTTTGATCAAACACAACCCATTTGGGTCTGCTATTTACCTTGGTTGATTTAAACATAAGTTGCGCCGGGTAATTAAGAAAAGCCAAAGAACCTTTAGTAAGTCCATGCGAACCCATAAGCACCGCAGAGAGCTTCACGTAAGTCTTCCATGGGTTCACCATTTGCTTGGTGGTGAAGCCTTGTAAGTAAATCAACAAAACATAAACCCATCCTTGAACAAATGTGAAGTACCAACCATAGCTGTAAGAAGTAAAGCACCATGGAATTGTATCAAATCAACATATAAAACCTTCAATTAAATCTCAAAATTTAAACATTGATCAACAAACAAAATATAAGAATTTGGAGGTAGAACTAACCTGAATTGGAGCCTATTATACACATATTCCTGAAATGACGCAATAAATAAGTTCAAAATCAGTTTTTAATTAAAAAGACGTGAACAATATTTGCTTTTGGGATTCTACTCCAATAATGAAAATAAATGGCATGGGTATCCTCTATCCCCAAAAAAGGTGTCCCCTCTCCCATCCATTTAGGGCCACACGATCTCATTTTAATTTAAAGAAAATGATGTAGTGTGATTGCGATGAGTGATGAAACATAGGGAGAGACATTTTTTTGGCGACATCAATGTTACAACACAAAAACAAATCACAGAATGGTACACAGACGCTCGCATGCTTGCAAATCTCATATTGTGTAGGGTCCACAAGCTTGCGAGGGTCTCTGTTGCATTTTGTGATGTTTTTCTTTGTTAGTAGCATAATTTGTTGACAAAATTATCAGCCGGTCCTATTGGTTGAAGTTATTACCCAACAAATCATGAGTGAGATTTTTATACACATTAATCCTGAAAATTGTGCTTTTTGCTGTTAAGAATCATTGGAAAAGCTGTAAATTTATTGTGAGAATCGGCGTGAATTAAAATCGAAGGTTAGCGGGTTGGGTTGTGAAGGTGAAACTGGAAACATGGACTTATTAATTTGGAACATGATTTGTTGGGTATTAAGTCTGTCCATAGGACAGACCTGCAAGTCCCCCTTTTTGTTTTTGGGATAGAAGAGACTGGCCGAAATTAATTTATTAATGTCCCAAAAATATATTCAAATCAAGCGGCAAACTGGTAAATGCAAGTGTAGTAGACCATATTATTATGATTTAAAAATAATAATTAAAAAAAAAAGACCCTATAAAAACAGAGTGGTACTATGCAAGGTTGGGTAAATTAGGTCCAATTAAATTAGGAAAATTAGGTAAAAATATTAATTTGGATCAATTAAACAGATTGACTAAATAATAAGTTGGTATATTAGGTCCAATTAAATTAGGAAAATTAGGTAAAAATATTAATTTGGATCAATTAAACAGATTGACTAAATAATAAGTAGGTAAAAAAATATTAAATAGATTGACTAAATTATGTAGAATAATTTAAGGAATATATCAAGCAATTCAAGAACCAAAAAGAAATTTAAAGGCTTGCTCAAAGGTAACCTTTCTAAAGATTAACACAAAAATCCAATTTTCCGAGTTCAGATTCAGTGATTACTGTAGAGCACACATGCAAGACAAAATCAACGTAAAACAAATCACAACCATTGATAATGATGACGATCATGATCAAATTAGAGATGAAAATGATGATGGTGACATGACGAGTAACATATAAAATCCCCCTAAATAGAGTTATAATCTGTTACAAGATCATATAGAAAACACTCATAGAGTCATATTAAAGCAATTAAGCCTGTTTGGTTACTAAGAAACTGAAGGAAAAGAAAAGAAAATTAGTGCCAAACCATTGAAAAACAAGAGACGAAATGATTTTCTCAACTATTGCATTTATATGTGGTCGATTGTTCCATTTTCGGACAGAAAATAATAGAGACTTCACAAGATTTTATTATAATCATCTTTTCTCGAGTTTTCTCGGGAAACAAACATTTGGGTTGAGTAGATGATTATTACCTCACAGACGCCATTGACAAGGTAACCGAAGAAGAACCCAGAAGAGCAGATGAGAAATTGTTGCCACATGGGTCTGTTAGAGAGCGAGATTCCGAGGAGAGATCGAGCTTGCTCTTCGTTTTTCATTTTCTCAGTGGGTACTCTGTTTTTTGAGTTTCCAATCACTCTGTTTCAGAGTTATTTGTCAATCAACTCTGTCTCTACAGTCTTTGCATGTTAGACCTTAAACACAGAGACAAATGTAAATGAATATAAGGAAGCTGTGTCGCTGCGATTTACGTTAATCAATTATATAAAAAAAATCATTTTCAAGAAAACCATAAGAGTTTAGAGAAAGAGTTCAGATTTTAAAGAGCGAAAGGGACTTGTGTGCAAGAAAATGGGTGACATACGATATAAATATGGATGATATGATACTGTGGGGTCTTTTGGGAAGGGAAAATGTTTGAGGGCCACAATTTTTGTGGCTCAAATGGCTCAAAATTATTAAAACGACGTTGTTTTGACAATTTTAAAATTGTTTTGTACTCAAAACGACGTCGTTTTAACAATTTCTAACCATTTGAGCCACAAAAATTGTGGCGCTCAATCATTACTGTTTGGAAAGTTATCAAAAAAATCAATTTTTTGACTTTTTAATTTTTTTGTCAAAAAAGTTAATTTTTTATCCAAAATAATCTAGCTTTTTGTCAAAAAAATTATTAAAAAAAAAACTTAAAAAGTCAAAAAATTAAATTTTTACCAATTTTTCAAAACACCATTATATTTAGTTGAGGGATTTGAAAAAAAAAATTTAAAAATAAAAATAAAAAAAAGAATGTGATATGTTAATAAAATATATTTATATTTTATATAATTTTACATTTTTTAAAAAAAAATTCTTTCCAAATTTCTTGACCAAACATAATATAAGAGTATACTTAGATGATATTTTATGATAATGTTTTTTAAATTTTTTTTTTCTAAATTTCTCAACCAAACATAATATAAGAATATAGTTAGATGATATTTTATGATAATATGATTAAAAAAAAAATTCTTTCCAAACCTCTCAACCAAATATAATGTAGTATAGTTAGATGATATTTTATGATAATATGATTAGTAAAAAAAAAGGAAATTTAATTATTTATATAAAGTGATTAAAAAATATAAATATATATGATAAATAATAATTTATGAGAGAATATGACCGTATATGGCATGAATGGTGTGTTGCTGAATTATGACATTGATTTGCGACCAACAATTGGCTCCCACATGATAAACATGTGACTTGGAATTTGATAAATCTAAGAAATCATAATTTGGGTACGTTTGGCATAAATTTTTTTGGGATTTTTTTTTTTTTTTTTTTTTTTTTTGACTATTTTAGTTATAAAAAAATAAATTAAGTTTTTTAATTTAATTAGACAAAATATCACATTTAACTTATAATTATTATATTTTTTTCTTACAAAAATTAAAAAAAGTCAAAAAGTCCATTCCAAATGAATCTTTTTAGTCTCAGGTTAAATAATTAAAAAGTCAAAAAATCAACTCACATCCCAAACAAGCCCATTTATTTATAAATTTATGCCAAGAATTGAAGTGAGTGATAGAAATTGAAAGTTTATATTATGAATCTATACGTAGGATGAATCAAAATTACACGAGAAATTTTAATACTTTTATATATCTTTTTTAAAGGATGTATCATATATATTTTTGATTATATTATTTTCTTATTTAATTATGATTAATTTTTTTCTTTAGTTATGACATGACTCATGTTTAATCATGACATTTTTTCTTTTTTTTTTTTTAGTTATAACTCAAAAAATTAAAATTATACCATTTTTTTTTTTAGTTATAAAGTGTATACAGAGTTGGCACTTATAGTGTTTCCCAAATTATATATTGTTTTTTTATTATTGGTTTTATGAGTTGTTTTTTGGGATTTGGCTTTTCTCAAGTTAATATGTCAACTTGAGAGAGAGCCTTGCGCATGGTAGGCTTATTTGAAATCGATTTTAATAATCTGAACTGTTTACTTTTTAAGATTTGTTAAGTAAAATATTTTATCAAAAAATCAAAATGATCTAATATTAGTAACTATATGTTTGAACAATATTTATTTTTTTAAAAATAGACAACAAATCTAATTTTAAAAATAGTCATCCATTTTTATAATATAAATTTGATTCAAATATATAACTATCGATATCAGATTATCTTAGTTTTTTTACATGAATATTCTACTTAATGGCTCCTAAAGATGAACGGTTCGGATCACCAAAATCGGCTTTAAAATGAGCGTACCAAATTCAAACGCTCTCTTAAGTTGAGATAACAACCGAAGAAAAGCCAAATCCAATTTTTGAAGTTTGTAGTATTTCTATTTGAAATTTTTGATACAACGACGAAAAATATCTCGAAACTGTGTGACCTGATGACCAGCTGAACAAAAGGAAAAGCTTAGGATTGAGATCAATTGGCAAAAGTTTCGAGATAAATGTATGAAACTTTTTTTGCATTGTTGTTTTGGATTTGGTGGAGAGTTATAGGTGGATTACACATATTAGGGGTGCTTGCGGATTGAGTTAGCTAGGGTGGTTTCTTATTCGTCATCTATTTTAATGTAGGTAGATTGAAAAAGATCAATTCACATTTATCTTCTTAATTAGTAGATGCGGATTAAACAAATCGTGCGGATTGGCGAGTAGATACAAACTGAATTAGTGATTTGAACCTTATTGTTGTATTCTTTTCTTCTTTTTTTTTTGTGAACTATTTTAGAATTATTTTTTTACTATTTTGGGCCTTATTTGAGTTTAAAATTTTTTATTTTTCATTTTTTTAATTAAAACAAATGCCAAACTTTTATATTTCATAAATACCTAATATTATTACTAAATAAAATGTTCCTTTTTTAACAAACAAAATACAAAAATAAAGCATTATTTTCTTAAGGGAGGTTAGCGGATTTGGTTGGGTCACCATTTGTTTAAAGATAGGCAGATTTGAAAAATCTCTATCCGTATCTGTCTACCCATACTATCGAAACTGCTTAAAAATAAATAGATTGAGTCAAATTGATCGATTTTGACAAACCGATTGGGTCCGTAAGTACACATACATAGGCCCTGTTTGGTAGGGCTTATTTTAGCTTTTAGCTTAATTTAAACTATTTTGATGTATTTGGTTCAGCTTAACAATACAACTTATAGTTTTTTGTAAGTCAAAAATCAATTTATTCTTTGAGTGGGGGAAGAGAAGCTTAATTTATAAGTAAAAAATCAGCTTATATTCACAGCTATAAGCTATGAGCTGTTATGTTATAAGTTATAATCACTTTCTCACAGCTCTACCAAACGGGGCCATAAACTGTGAGGGTTGCTACATTGAATGATGATTCGTATATATTTATTATTCAATATTGAAGAAATATTTGCTCAATAATTGGATTTAACATTATGTACAACTTTTACATTTTTTTTAATTAAATCAGAGTTGGAAATGCTTAAATACCCTCTTTTAATTATAATTTTTAAAAGGATTGTGAATAGTTATATAATAAAAAACTTATTTAATAAAAAAAATTCAGTTTTTCCACAAATTATAACTCCATATTTAAAATAATTATAATCATAAGTAATTTATAAATAATACCAAAATGGGAGTAATATAATATCTATCTTTTATTGGATACACGGTGGTTTCAAAAGATACCAGGTCAAAAAAAAGGTAACTGAAAATATAATTCGGTGCCAGTGTGACGCACATAACAAGCCAATATGGAGACGCGTTTAGAACTTTGAACCACGTGGCATTTTTACAGCTCAGAGAAAAGGTGAGCTGGTACTTAAATAGATAGAGTACAACTGGAACATACTTTTATAGGATAATACTTGTAACTCGAAAATTCTTGCTCCGAATTGGCTTAAAAACTCAAAACGACGTCGTTTTGGGTATTCTATTTTTTATTTTTATTTTCTTCTTTTCTTTCATTTCCCTCTCTGAAACAGAGAAGAAAGAGAGAAGATGCGAGAAAGAGAAGAGGAGAGAAGAAGGAGAGAAGGCAGAGGAAGAGAAGAAGGAGACGGTGATGGCGGTGCGGTGCCGGTTGGCGGGTTGGTGGCTCTCTCACTCTCATATATATATATATAGATGTGTGTGTGTATAGATCTGTGTATACACACAGATCTGTGTGTGTTGATGATGATGAAATCTGGTGTTGATCTGTGTATAATTTTTTTTTTTTTGTGATTGGTGATATATATGTGTGTGTGTGTGTGTAGATGAAGAAGATAATCTAGTGTTGATGATGATGAAATCTGGTGTTCATCTGTGTATAATTTTTTTTTTCTTTTTTTTTTGTGATTGGTGATATATATATGTGTGTGTGTGTGTGTATAGATGAAGAAGATAATCTAGTGTTGATGATGATGAAATCTGGTGTTCATCTGTGTATAATTTTTTTTTTTTTTTTTTTTGTGATTGGTGGGTGCTGATGTCCCCAACTCCATCTTCTACCTTCTTCTTATTCTTCATTATCATCATGTTCATCCTCTTCCAGAACAGTTTCAGAATAGAGAAAAGAAAGGGGAAAATGAAAAAAAAAAACAAACACCAAAACGGTGTCGTTTTAGATTCGAGACATTTCGGGCCAAATCTCTTTCGAGCTACCTAACAGCTCTGTACTTTTATATGGTATGTCCATATTGGTAGATACGTGGAGGTTTTCTAGCAATATTATCTATACTACGTTTGGACGGTGATTAGGTCCTCTTGGAGATACAACTTTTTTTGCTAAAATAATTAATAAAAGTAAAATATTATATCTAAATTATAGTCATTTTATTTTTTCTTTCATAACTATCAAATTAATTATAAAAAAAAATAATTATCATCTCAAACATAACTTTTTTAGCTAAGCTAATATAACCAAATAGTTAAAAAAATCAATTAAAATAATCGTCACCAGCTCCCTTGTTGGAGTCTGGGAGGTCGGCTACAATTTTGAATTCTGTGGACCTCAGCTTAAGGTAATAAATGTAACATTTTTCTTTCAAGTTAAGGCCACACATGGTATAGCAATATTGGATGTCGGCAAGGGTGATCCTAGCGTTTTCCTGTTTCGCTAGGGCTATAATACCATTGATCACTCGGTAAGAATTGATGGCCAGTTGCATAGGGTTCAACTTATAGTAATGGAGGACCTCAAGAAACAGAATGTTTAGTGGAAATCGAAGTCCACACTCGATAAAGGCGACTACAGGGAAAGGCATGGAGTCGGCAGTGGGCATGATGGGGTCATCATCCCCAGCCAACCTCAAATGGACGTCGGCTGGGATCTCAAACTCCTGTCTAAAGTATTCTAGTTTGGA